TGTGACTTGTTTTCATCAATGGTCTGGATGTTCCTTGAAAATCATGGCCATGTGTTCTTTGGCTCTGTCATCTTTGGCACTTCTTACAAGCAAGGCACTCATTTCACTATTGGAAAATGAATGCTTGTGTGGAAAAGATTTAGCATTGCTAAGTATTCCCGACAATTGGGCATAATGTGAGTCGTTTTCCTCACGTCACCTCACAGCTCACTACATTAAATAGGTATTGTCATATTCATTCAATACATGAGGACTTACTGACCTCTCATTTCTAGCTTTGATGTGTTCTGTCTATCAGTAGCCAGCCAGACCCAGGACAGTCCTGGCTCTTTGTTTCCTTGCTTCTTTAGTCATTTTTGACTGGGTGGTGAGCAGACTGAGCCCACATCTCTTGTTACCCAGGAGACCCCTTCTGAAGCCAGGCAGTCTTGGCAGACTCGGCTGCTCATGCCCTGCCACACTCTACTGCTTTCCAGGTGACTAGGAAGTGAGCAGCTGCTGTGAGTCCCCAACTGCCCTTCCTCTGCCTCCAAGTGCTTTTAGGCAAGCTGCTGTTCCCTGAGATGCCACTGTAGAAGCTTGTGGTGGCTTGCTGGAATCTGACTTGTCATTCCTTAACCTGCTCCTCTGAGGGCTCTTCCCAGCTGACTCGGATATCGATAGTCCCTCCCTTGTGGCTGCAAACATTGAATACTTCTTTCCAATGACTTGACTACAAATTACCATCATTTTCTACGAGAGGAAACCAGACCCACTTGTAATCCTAACTGTCAACAGCCCATGGTTGTCAGTTGTCCCTCTAGCTGATCTGAGTGTTATGTTACTGTGGGAGTGATATAAGCCACTGGCTTCTTCTGGAAAAACCCCAAAAGCAGAGACCATATTAATCTCTATCAGAATAGACTATATTAGGATATTAAGCATAGCCTTCCTCGACTTGTATTTTATCCCATATGCAGAATGTCCCTGTCCTTGAAGGGACCCACAGCATCACATGGACAGGTTCCACAGCAGCATTCCTCATGTAAGTGAGGAAACAAAGGCCTAAGAGGACGTAAGATTTGCCTGAAGCCAGAAGGCCCTTTCACAGAACACTGTTGGTAGTGAGGTTGATCTTGTATATTCTTTGTACCTCTGTGGTCTTAACAAATGTCAGTCACATGAAGCTGAGAGAACCCTGATCTAACTTACAAATATCCAGGGCTCTCTGATCTTATCAAAGCTGACCAGTGAATAGCAAGACAGGATTTTTAAATCCAGGACTTCTCATTCAACACAGCTCTTGAACTATGATTTTCCCACTGAACTACCATGACCTGATTGCATGCTCTGACAGCAATGGATGAAAATGTTCTCAAGTCTGGCTGCTGGGTAGGTTCAGAACACCTCCAAACTGCCCAGCCTTTGACTTCAGACAGGTTAATTGGCTTCACTGGCTGTCTTCATCTACAATATGGGAAATGATAGCAATAATGTATTTCATTGTGATTTTATTAGTACTAACTAAGGAAACACCTGTAAGGGGTAAAGCAGTGACTGGCTAATATATCTTGGAAGTACTAAATAAATTTATCCATAGCTCTGTTATTACTCAAGGGTATAAACTAGGCTTTATATGTCATTGTAAGCCATGACTAACCACAGTGACTGACACACTGTCAGGAGTGCAAGATTGCAGACACTTAGCTTGACAAAATAAATCTTGTGATGTGACATGAAGCAAGTTTCCCTCTTCCTGGTCCTTAGTTACTACATCTATAAATTGAGAAGTTTGAACCAGGCTAATCTCATAGTTTCTCCCAGCTCTACAATGCTCCATAGAACTGATTGGTTCTCAGTGTGAGCATTTTTGCTGAGAGAAGATATTTACAAAAATATCTGAGGATGTTTTTGATTGCACATCTGTGAGGAGTGCTAATGCCCTGCTATCATTTGGTTTAGTAGAGGCCAGGACTATTGGTAGAAAATGCACAGGACAGGCCCACCTAACAAAAATAATTCTTCTGCCTTAAATGTCAGTAATATGAAGTCAAAAGACTCTGATATAACTTACAAATACCCAGAGCTCTCTAATTTGCTGGACAAGGGCCTTGTGTCTACCAGGTTGCCAAGATGTCCAGGAGAACAGAACTCCTCATTGCAATAGAATGGGCTATTGATTGTCCCTTGTGCTGACACCTCATACTCTCATCATATTGATCTAGTTGGAAGCAAGAAGCTGGCCCAAGGCATCTTTAATTTAAAGTTGGAATCATTCCTGTACATCACTGAAGCCCACAACGGCTCTGCCAATGATGGGGAGAACATTCCTCTAGCGGACATTCTTGAGTCTAAGATAGGGACAAAGTCTCTCTAGATGTGGGGGGTCCACATCACCAGATTTGTTTCAACATAACCCTTATTCCCCTCTCCTGTTTCAGTTCACACCCTGCAGAAGCAGCTCAACCCCTCTGGTGACCAGGAAGAGATGACATTGAACAGTGGAGCAGATCTAAGTTCATGGCCTATCTACATAGTGAGATGGTGGCTCCCTTGGTCTCATCAAGTGTGAAGGGAGGGCTGTCCCTGAAGTTACTAGACTCACATGGCTCTAGGCTTGTTTGTCTTGAGGAACTAGAACAGTGATTCTCAACCTGTGGGTTATTAAATCAGATATCCTGCACATCAAATATTTACATCATGATTCATAGCAGTAGAAAAATTACAGTTATGAAGTAGCAACAAAATAATTTCATGGTTAGTACAACATGAGGAACTGTGTGAAAGGGTTGCAGCATTAGGAAGGTTGAGAACCATAAACTGGAGGACTTAAGACAGGTGCCTTTTGCAAGGTTTCTGTTACCTCATTTCTCTTTCTCACTCCTCCTTACCCCCTTATCTCCACTCCAACCCTCTCACATTTTCAGAAAGAACACAAACTAGGGGTCAGTGTGGTATCCAGTTAAGATAACGTCAGTTTCTATTTCTTCTATCTGTATACATGCTTTCATCTGTTAAATGGGAATTCACTTGTCTGTGAACACGGGAAGACACTGAAGCAAATAACTTTTGGGTAGTCATCACAGAAGCACATTTTCTTCCTGACTCTAAGCCGCAAGGACACTGGCCATGCCATGTGGGAGCTGTTGTTATACCCTGGCACTCAACAGTATCTCAGGGTGATCTCTAACTCCAGCCATTAGACATTGGTGATTCTCTGCCTTAACCCACAGGAACCTAGGGATTCATTGCTTGAAGGTTCAAAAGCTCCAAGCAGCACTCTCTGGTCTCTGCCAGGTGGCCTGAGGAGGGGATGCTGGAAATGATAAGTCAAAATAATCAACCCGTGAGGCAGACTTGTTCTGAAGCTACCACTGGCCATGCCTACCAATCGATGGGAGGCCTTATCCTTTGGGCTTTCCATTGTGCCTGAGAACAGCTTGTCCAAAACAACAGGCAGCTCAGGCACCTGACACTCCTTATTTCTAGTGATTAGAGTAGATAGAGCAAGAGACCCAAAGAGGCATTCCAGAAGCAAAAAAGATGTGAGTCTAGCTTTGAGGTTAGCATTCTTACTGGTACTAGATGTCATTTGCAAATGAATACTATGTGTCATGATTATATATACTCCCCATATCCTCTCTCAAAGTCCTCATAGAACCCAACCCCTGCATATACCTTCCCCCTTCTCTCCAGTGAGTCTAGTCCAATTGGTTTGCCTATATGCACATACATGTGGGCCATCCACTGCAACATGGGGACCCCCCTCAAAGAAAAGTGAATTTTCTTTCCTTAATAACCATCAACTACCAATAACTACCTAGCCAGGAGCCAGGGCTCAGGGTCCCTCTCCTACTAATGCTGGAATCTTAACTGACATGATCTTGTTCGGGTGATCACTGCTCCTATGAGTTCAGGTCTGCAACATTCTTGTCATGTCCAATGAAATAATAAGCAAACCTCAGGAATACAAATAGAATAAAGGATTTCATTCCTGTTGGTGTTGCTGTGGTGTGTAGTTCTTCTAGATACAACTGAATACAGACAGATCCTTAGCATGGGATGAAAAAGAGACTTCAAAGGAAGCACTGAGGAAATATTATAACCTCACTGGAAAAGTAATAGTCAAGATTCCACCACTTAACACACCATAGGGACAAAGGATGGGTGACGGGCATTGGTCAAAAGGACTCTTCTCAAAAGCAGTTTTTTTTTTTTTGGAAGGAAACCAAATCCAAGCATGGTTGTAAAATCAGAAAATTTTAAAACATAATCATTACAAAGTAGGATCATCACCCTTGCTCATTGAAAAGTCATCAAACATGTGGCCACTCAGAGCTGAGACCTTGACATACTATTTATAGAATTATGAAAAGAATGGAGACAAAAAGGCAGACAGCCCAATTCAAGTTGCTTTCCCATGTCATTCTTTGTAGAGACATGACGGATCACTGAGAGAGCAAGCTATGTTTCCAGAAAGTTTAGCAGACTTCCCCGTTGTCAGCCTTGGGTGATTTCAGGGTTTTACACATCTGGAAAGTTCTAGAACAAATCTGTGTCCTTGACTAATCTTATTTTCAGGCTCCATAATCTCATAGGATCTGCTTGGGTGGCTACACTATTTTGTCTTTCCCCCTCTCGCTCAAGTTCTACTGGTAAAACGCATTTTCTGGCATATAAAATTGATTTCATGGCAACTGTTTAACATTCTCTTTAGCTGTTTGCTCCTTGGCTCAATCTGGACCTCAGAACATGAATATCTATAACATCCACATATTACGTGCCCAGTCTGACAGCTGGTCCTCTGGCCTTTGGAAGGACCACTAGCCAGGGCAGTCTGGGGGGCCCATAGATCAAGGCCCAAGGCACTACCTGGGGGACATTAGCAGTAATGGTTCAATCTGGACCTACACATTAAAGGACAATTGTGAGTCTTAAGTAGATGTCAGTGTTTGGAAATGTGCATTCCGAAGCCAAATCACCTTCTCAAAGAATCAATTTGGACCTTGGGAAAGACTTACCCATGCTTCCCTGGAGTGGGCACCAGGAGAATCTCTCTTCCGGCCTCATTGTGCGGCAGTAACTGGGCAACATATCTCCCTGAGGGCTGTAGATGTCTGTGCACTGAGACAGCCAGTGTGCAGTGATCACTGCTGCTCCTCATCCAAGGGCTCAGGATGGCATGCTTGGAATCGGCTGAGGCGTTCAGCAGGAGGAAGGAGCCTGGAGAGATGAAAGGAAATCAATCTGAAGGTATGTACAAGCAGGAGGGCTAGGAGCAGCTCTGTATAAGGGTATGAAGGTCCACAGCAGGGAACTCAGAGGCGCCAGGTGTCTCCTGTCTTATTTGTACATACACAGCCAAGTCCATTCTGGAGGAGTTGGATGGCAACCAGGGACATGGCCTTGATAACCACTCAGGACAAAGTTCTAACCTGTGGTGGTTTGAATGAGAACCACCCATAGGTTCGTGGATTTGAATGCTTGGTCACCAGGGAGTGGAAATGTTCAAAAAAGGATTAGGAGGTGTGGTCTTGTTGGAGGACAGTGTGTCACTGGAGGTGGGCTTTGAGGTTTGCAAAAAGATAAGCCAGGCCCAGCAAGTCTCCCTTTCTTCCTACTGCCTGCAGATCTGCCTGCATGCTACCTCATTCCCCACCATGATGACAATGAACTAAACTTCTGAAATTGTAAACAAGCCCAATTAAATGCTTTCTTTTTAGAGAGTTAATGTGGTCATGGTGTCTCTCCACAGCAATACAACTTTAAGAAATAAGCTTAGTGTCCCCTACTTAACTGGCTCTATGTCCTTGAGCCTTGGGGTGGTTTTGTTTGCTTGCTTTTGTTTTTATTAGCGAAACAGGGATAAAAGCATCTATCAAAGGACTTTTCTTTTTGCTTAGTAGCTAAGTCCTTTTAGGCAAAACAACAGCTCAACCATAGAAGGTTTGAGAGGGTTTAGCTGAACCCAATAATCTCCGCAGCTCTCTTTCAGACCTCAAGTTTTTGAGTCATGTGACTGGTTTCCACAAAGCAGACCCTAGAAATCCTGATTGGTTCATACTTGGGACAGAGTTTCCTTCTGGGCCTAGTTGGATTCTAGAGGCAGAGACAAGATCACCTACAAGAAAAAGATGTTCCTGGAGATTGCTATTTGCATAGAAATCCTGGCAGCATTTTATTGTTCCAGGCACTCCCTGCAATGCACTAGTTTTACTTGCAGAGCTTCTGCATTGAACGTTTCCACCAGTAGATGCTGCTCCTTTCTCAGCAGAGACTTAGTCTCTTGACCCCCCACTTCCCTCGTGGACATAAGCTAATGAGGGCTCAGCCTTCTCAAACCACCTCTGGTACTTGCCAAGCTTTCCTTCTGCACAATTCAATTTACCAACTCGGCAAATAAACTAATGGTCTGTGATGAGGAATGGTAAAGACGAAAGAGCAGAATCCTTTCCAGGAGCAACATTCGGAGAAAGATGGCATTGCTCCAAGAATCAGAAACTTGCAACATGCCAAAAGTAGGTAAAAGTAATTTAAGGTTAAAACAAGTATGAAGCAAGTGTGAGGATGCCTCTGAGACAGGTCGAGGACATGTGGTCAGTGCTACAATCTGCACACTATATCTGTTAAAACCTTTCAGCAAGGCCTATGGGCATTTGGAACACTGCTCTGTAACTCTCACTACATAATCTATCTAACCCTCAATTTAGAGTGGAGATGAATGTTCTTGTCATAGCTCATAGCACAAGAAAAGAGACTCAGAGCTGTGCATGTCATCTAGTACAACCCTTTGCATCTGAAGAGAAGTAGACTATTGACCCAGATGGGGCACTGATGGATCCAAAGTGTTTGAAAGTCAGGACTGGCTGCCAGGCCTCCAGAATCGCATGCAGTGCTAGCCCTTGACATCTTCCTTATCCTTCACTACACAGGCTCCTTTGCCTAAAATGTGGCCAGGGAAGCTTTGTCTGGGTGTTTAGGTCAGAGGAGTGCACCCAGAGGTGCACTTAGGAGAGGAACAGGTGGGCATTGGGTCAGATCACTTCCTTCCTCACTTTGTTCTGCCTCCAGATACCACTTACTGGCTGATTATCTTGAGTCACCACCCAATCACAGGCTCTGATCTGGGAAACCAGCATAGGACCAAACCAAGCCCCCTGAACATGGGTGTTAGTTGGAAGGTCTGGGCAGTCTATGGGGCCTCTGTTAGTGGACCAGTATTTATCCCTAGTATATGAATGGACTTTGGGAGCCCATTCTACATAGAGGGATACTCTCTCAGGCTAGACACATGGGGGAGGGCCTGGGCCCTGCTCCAAGTGATATGGCAGACTTTGAAGATTCCCCATGGAAGGCCTCACCCTTCCTAGGGAGCAGAAAGGGGATAAGATAGGGGATTGGTGGAGGGCAGGTTAGGAGGGGAGAGAGAAGGAACTGAGATTGATATGTAAAACAGGATTGTTTCTAATTTAAATTAAAACATTAAAACATTTCCTGGAAGATCACATACATGTGAACACAAGGGAGCCTCCAGAATCCAGCAGAGTTGCTGGGGTTTGGATCTGGGGCCTCTCCTGCTCTTCTTTCTGGGTGTAGGAACACATGGGAATTCTGTCTCTGTAATTAGTGTTATAGTATCTCAATAACGGGGCTTTTGCATAGCTGACAGGGGGAATGGATTCCTTTTCCAACTGTAATATGAGAGATGTTTATATGAATTTCATTTTGTGCAACTGGACTATCAATATGAGAGCAGGCTTAAAGAATTTTCATTTTCAATGAAACTCTGTAGCCAAGCACTATCTTTTCATTGGCAGTTTCCTCCACCCCATAAGCTTCTTGGATGTTGTCAGTATAAATCTTTTAAAGTCAGTGAGGATCTTTCCACCCCTCCCCCACATTCTTGTTTATGTTGCTCAGAATAGCTTGGGGCTAAGAGACATCTCCTGGGGTCCTGTGTAATTAGAAGGAAAGCCTGGCCTCACAATCCTTCACCCAGGGTGGCACCAGGGAGATGAGGGAGTAGAAAAGCCGATGAAAGGGCCTGGGCACACAGTGGCTGCCTCCATGTTTCCTTTTGTGTGGGTGGTTGACCATCTTGTTTTCTCCTTATTGCTTGCCTTTGAACCAACAGGACCTAAAGCAGGAGCTAGAAACCTACGGTCATGAACAAAAAAAGGTTAAAGGTCATGATGTCAGTGGTCAGACTGCTGTCAATACAGGCTCTACTTCTGTCTCCTTATAGGCCTTAGGAAAGTGATTTAAAGTCTCTAAGTCTTTAGTTTGCTCAAGTTTAATTTGGATACAATCTACTATGAGGATGAAATCCTATGGCAGGCACAAGTGACCAGGCTGTTACTGACTCATAGGAGATGTGTGAAAAAATGTCAGTACTTTTACTGAGTATGGTGTCTAAATTTGGAAGTGTTGCTGTTGGTTGTTTGTTAATTAAAATATCACTTATTTTATCTGCATGTTATTTCTCTGCACCAGAGTATGCCTAATTCCCATAGAGGCCAGAGAAGGCATCAGATTCCCTGGGGGCTGGAGTTACAGCCAATTATGTGGCTACTGAGAACTGAGCCTGAGTCCTTATGATGAGCCGTTGAGCTCTTAGTGGCTGAGCTATTTTGATCTAGCTTTGAAATGGAATTGAATCAATCAGAGGGACTGAGTTTCAACCCGATTTCCACCAGGGCCATGCTTTCTTTGTTTACACAGTGAAAGGTTGAGTCTTGTCTCTAAGGATCCCTTCAGCTTGAAACTGTCAGTAATTCTATCTGCTTGACTAGAATATTAGTAATCTAAAGGAGCCAAAGCAAGTCTCAGAGCCCCCAAGTCCTAAACACTTCTTCCCTTAATTCATCTCTCTGAGGCTCCTACACAACAGTTTCAATCAATTGTCCAAGCACACAGTGAGCTCTACTGAGAGTAAACTGTGAATCTTGCCCTGTCTTCCTCTCTTCCACTTTGTACAAACACATCCTTAGGAAGGGCTCTTGGCTTAGCATCCTGTACTTCATGCATCTGCTCTGAGGCTGTCTGGTACTCAACACAGTATCACAATGGGTGCTCAAGTGATCTTAGAGTATCAAAGTACACAGGAACAAACAGGGAAGGATAACTTATAATAATAATTGTAGGAAATGGTCACCAAATTCTGCTTCTCCAACCAAGTCCCATCCACTGGAAGGTATATTTGAAAGGATTTCTAATTTCTTTAGATGGCTGGCCACATTATTCAAAATATGATCATAGTGTCATTTGTGTGTACAACTGTAGTTTTTTTCACATTAATGATGTTATAAGAGAGATGATAATACCTCCTTGAAATACTCATTTTTTAATCTTTAATTTTACTGGTCCTTTGAGAATGAATTTTACTGTCTGGTTTGATCATATTCACTCTCTCTCTCCACTCTTCCAAGTTCAATCTCCTTTCTCTAATCATTCAACTTCGTGTGCTCTGTGTTTTTCCCCTCTGTTGTTTTTTTTTTTTTTCTTTTTTCCATTCTTTCTTCTAAAGTCCAGTTTGTGCTGCACACATATTCTTCAGTTTGTGGCCTTCCACTGGGGCTTGGTCCACTTACCAGGAACAACACTCTTAAACAGAACAAAACAAGGAATCTTCTTTCCCAGAAGCTACAATTGACAGCATTTCCTTAGCTAGGAGACCTTGTGTTCACCGACTCCTCTGCATGGCAGGATTTGACTTGGCTTGAGTTTGCATAGGCTTGTACATGCTGTCCTAACCACCAAGGTCACATGTGCATCTTCTCTGCTGTGCTGGGAGACACTGTTTCCTTGTACATATTCATGGCCTATAGTCTTCCTATCTCCTCTTCCTCAATGATCCCTGAGGCTTGGGAAGAGTGGATGGCCCCTTTAGACCTGAGCACCTCCCAGTCTCTTATTCTGTGATCACTGTCCAGTTTTGGGTTTCTGTGTTAATCACCATCCATGGCACACAGAAGCTTCTCAGATGAGAGATGCATTACTCTATCATTGCTTTATCAGTATAGCAATGAGTAGTTATTGGTTTTTCATTTAATTTTAGGTCTTGGGCTGTTCTGGGGATCAAGCCTAGGGCCTTGAGTATGTTAGAAGAGCCACATTCCCAGCCCTTGTCTTGATTTTTAAAACACCTTTTTGTTTGCAACTGCTTAGTTTTTGAACTTTACAAGAGGCTTTTCTTGCTTGTTCTACAAGCCTCAGATAG